TAAGGCATGTGGACTTCAACTCCCAGAATTCCACAGCCAGCAACGCTGGCTGTGGAATTCTGGGAGTTGAAGTCCACATGCCTTAAAATTGTCAAGTTTGGGAAACACTGTCCTACAGTGACCAGAAATACAGGATTGGTGGCATGATGAGAAGGGGAGAAAAGGGGAAGCATCAACAGCTTTTCTCAGACCAACATAAAGCAGTTCTGAGCTAAGGAGAATGTTGGCAGAGGATCAAGAGCATTTGAAGTAACAACACACCATCTCCTGTGGTCTTTCTGGAAGACGTGGAGCTGGGATTTGTGGTACTTGCAATTAAGTTGATAGACATCTGAGCTTTGTTCACACTGACAAGATGATCCTTTGCAGAGGATCACACAAGGAAGTAATCATATGGCTCCTCCTGATCTCCCCGGGCCTTTCTTTCCCCAGCCCTGATCCCAAAAATCCTGCTGTGATCCAGCCCATTCAATCTGTCAATCTGTTTTAGAAAACATCATCTTCCATTTGAAGATGCACTTTATATTGCTTCAACTTCTAATGCACCCATGCTCCTTGGTGCATCAATGCCATTAGCTTAAACAGGAATAGCAGTAAGAGCCATCTTATAATAAAATAATAATAATAATAATAATAATAATAATAATAATAATAATAATAATAATAATAATAATAAAACACCTCCCCCCAATCTATCGAGCTAGCTCTTTATTTTTCAGTTGAGGTTTTATAGTATTCTTGCAAGCTTGAAATGGTTGGAAAGATTTATGATATCCAGCCAGATTTGTAAGTTTCTCAGAACGATTGTGTTAGACCAGTGGTTCTCAACCTGTGGGTTGGGACCCCATTTGGGGTCCAACGACCATTTCACGGGGGTCGCCAAACAAGGCTGTCCACCATTTTTCCCCCTTTTCTTTGGCCACACCCCTGGCACCTGGTGATGTATAAGTGGTTGGGGGTCACCACAACATGGGGAACTGTATTATGGGGTCACGGCATTAGAAAGGTTGAGAACCACTGTGTTAGACACAGCTTGAAATCCAGTCACATCCATATTTCCCTTCTAGGTGAATGGTTTCATTACTCAAACATACACAAATGGTTTTGTGCTTCCACACAATTATGTATAAAGGCTGCTTGGAGTATCATATCCAGCCAGCCTATGGAAAAGAACCCAAAATAGGAAGCAGTCAACCTACTATTCCTACTCTTCATTTTTCTGAGTTATCTATTTATGAGGAGGAAATAAAAAAAAATGAAAAAGCCAGTCAGCCACTGTTGGGGAAATGACAAAATAATCCCTTTATTTAATGGTGAATGTCTGGAGGGTGAACCACAGAGGTGGAGAAAAAAGTGGAGTTCCTGCCAACAAAAAGCTGTCCTGCCTTGCAAGGGAAATATGACAAACCTATATTCTCAGTGTTTGTTCTTAAGTGGAAACTAAGTTGAATAACTTTCAGAGTTAATCAAGCCATTGAGTTCTAAAAAGCCTACAGTATAGTGAGGACAGACAAGAACAGTATTAGCCAACTTTTGATGTAGAAGTATAGTTGAGATGGACTTTCAGTTTAATCGTTGTCAAAACAGTCCTTCTGTTTATCTTGGAGGACACACACATACCCAAACAACTGAGAAACCTAAAATTATCTTGGTGAAAATCCAGCAGAAGAGGGAGAAGACCTCTTTCTGCTTCCTTCTGGGAAAAGAGAAATACTACACTATCTCCACGGTTGGTATAAGCTCCTTTCCAAGGATACTTGGCTATCCCCTGATGGAGGCTGAATGTTGAACTAGATGGATCTTTGGGATGAATGAACAGAACAATACTACTTTCTTTTTCTCCCTCCCTCCCCATCTCAATCTTTCTCTCATAAGTCAGTGGGAAGACAGCCAGTAGAAGTTTGGCTCAGGGTTTTAAACTGTGATGTTTGGAAGAAATACTTTCTGACTAGCCATTTCATAATTGCAGAAATCCCCATATTCACAAAAGGAACTCCAGGGAAAATTCATGATCCCCCCCCCCCGCCGCCAAAATGAGTTGGCTTCTAATGACCTGATTAAGTAACTCTCAAAGCTCTGATTTAATATTTGTCCCATTAAAGTCCTGGGGAGAGAATTCCAGCCAAACATTTAGCCCTCCCTTGCAAAAAGAGAGACTAGTGTAACTCAAGCTTGTATACCTGATTGGTTGCACTCTGTAAAGTAGGAGAATTGGAGCTGCAGAAAGCCCACCAACAGAGAACCATAAATTATTCATCAGCAGCCATTTTATGTAGACAAGTTACAATTGGAGCAATGCAACAAGTATCCATTTCATCAAGCAAATATGTAAGTCCTTCAAACTGCAGTCAACTAATGACACATATATATTTCTCAGTGAAATAGCAATGGCCTTGGTGGTGTACTGTTGAGGCAAAGCACAAAGAATTTTCACTCTTCAAGAAACCACACTGTCTAGTTCAGTGAACTATACAAAAAGCTAATGCCAGTATTACCAGATAGGAGACCTGGTCAGATAAGGTAATGCTACTTTATTATAAAGCTACATTAACAGAATGTTGCAAGCACAATTCTCTCACTGTCACCTTTACAGTCCGAGAACTTAGGGAGAGTCCCTTCTGAACCTCTTGCTCCAACCACTATGCAACCGTGGGCTGTGCTACCTCTTATTCTATTATTCTCTCAGCATTGTCTCTTCTTCCTGTCTCCCAAAGTAATTCCCACCTATCATTACTGTTGTTTTGGTGGTTTTGAAAGTAAAAAGTGAAAGTGAAAATGAAAAGTCTGTGTTAATTTTAAATAGCTAAAAGATATTGTTGACCAATGTGTTTACTGAACCTACAGTTCACAACAAAGAAGTTAAGATGGTACATCATTTTGTTTCTTAGGCTCAAGAATAGATAGATGAGCCACATACTGGAAAAATAAAGAGAAATATTAATGACAATTTTAGATAGCATTACAAAAGGTTAAAGATAGTTATATGGCAGCAGGGATCAGAATAGTTGCGTGCAGGTTTTCTTAGTAGTATTTACATAGCTGTGAAAGACAGGCATTGAGAAAAAAAGATTGACACTTTAGTATTATGGATCTGGAGGTACAGTAGTTATACTAAGTGTATAACTACCTTGAAGTGATGATACAGAAACAGAAACTTAAAAACACTGGTCACCTGATAGGAATGAACTCTGAAAATGAACTAGAAGAATCTTGGGAGCTACGATGTTTGGGAACCATATGCAGTTTGTGACCTTAAACCTGGATACAGAACTCAAGCTGATGGTGCTGAAGCTGATGCACTGATGTTATTATTTTTTCTTCTTTTGCTGCCCATCTTGCTTTGAATCAACTCTGGGCAGCTTACAACATTAAATGTTAACTAGTTTACCAATGAAATGTCTGCAAGAAAACAACCAAGCTCAGAGAGCACCAAGGTGGCCACAGTTCAAACTTTACTCAACAAGAGGTTAAGACTGACCTCCCAAGACTGCATGGAGGGAATGTTCTCAAAGGACTGAGCCCCAGCTAGAGGAAGTGGGTGGTGGAAAGAGATGACAAGAGGTTGGATAAAATGGTCAGTTTGGATAGGGGATTTTAGGAGGATGAAGACAAGTTAGGGGACAAGTTAGAAAAGCTATCAATCAAGTAGCCAGATCACCACTAAAGGGAGTGAATGTAATGTAGTATCAGATAGCCCAGGCTTGGCAGAAGCCAAAGAGGTCATAGGATGTTGAGGGAGGAATAGGGACAAGAAAATGACATAATAGGCTTTAGGTTGGCCATTTCAGAGGAAGAGGGGATTTACTGTCCCACAGTCCCTTTTCCTGTCCTAATGCCTCATTCTGTAATCCTGGATGCTGAATTGTTGGCACCCTTAGCGTCAGACTGATCCCACCAAACACCAGCTCTATCTGCTCTCTTCCATGACTTAACTGGTGTGTGTGGAGGGAGGTAGATCTGGAATATATTGAGACCTGCCTGGTTAAGGAAGAGTTTCCTTGTAAACAATTTGTCTGACAAAGATTTAGAGAGGCTAGAGAGGTGGTTGGTTTTCCAGGAAACTTGAGTAATAACCAAGTAACCCTGCACTGCAAGTAAGTAAGAGCCGAGGTGGTGCAGCAGTTAGAGTGCAGTACTGCAGGCCACTTTAGCTGACTGTGTTCAGCAGGTCAGCGGTTATTGAACCGGCTCAAGGTTGACTCAGCCTTCCATCCTTCCGAGGTAGGTAAAACGAGGACCCAGATTGTTGGGGGCAATGTAAATATATATATACATCGCTTACTGGTGTACACCGCTTAGAGTGCTTGCACTTAAAGCGGTATATAAGTCTCATAAATAAATAAATAAATAAGTTTTTGCATTTGAAGCCGAGTATTCGATCTAGCCCACAGTGCTTCTGGTTTTCAGGAAAATGTAAAATAAAAAACAAAAATCAGAGTATAGGGCTAAAAATTCAGGGGAAGAGTAGAGGTTATTGAAAGAAAGATCTAAAGTGCACCCCACCCCCACTCAGCTTGATGATAAATCTTGATAGGTAAGATTACAAGTTCACTCCTAACCACTTCCAAATAGGGTTGGCAAAGATTCCTGTCTGAAACCCTAGGGAGATGTAGCTAATCAGGAAACTTGGAACACAGGTCAAACAGTATGTTTTGCTACAAATCTGCTTCCTATGATTTATATTATATCTTAAGTGCAATTGTATCTCACTTACAAAATTTGGACAATCTTTCTTGATCAAGCACCACATTCCTTCACGGGCATACACTGGGAAGCAGCCTATTGGCTGGGATCGGAGGCAAAAGTGAGCAGTGATTCCCAACACTGTCCAATGGATCCACTGATATTCTGGAATAAGCTCCTAGCATCCCAATCAAAGCATTTGATGTTAGTTGCAAATCACTTGTAGAGTGCTACTCGCACCTGCCAATTCCTGAACCATGGCAAATGATTAAACAAAAGTACAGCCAAGAAAGTACACAAAACCAAATTATAAATTACCCTTTTTATTGAATATCAATAAATTGTATATAATTATATATAAAAAGTATTTTTTCTTAAATTCAGTATAAAATTGTGGCACAAAAATATATAAATACCAGTGTACCTTTGAAATGTAAACATACCCTTTTGTTTTTCATCTTTTGTTGTTGTTGATGTGGAAACAATGTACAAAAGAAATGCATTCAGGAGGCACCTGTCAATAACCTTAAGTAGCTCTTTTGGCACACACCTGTCAATGGGGCAGCCTTCCCTGCCCAAGCGGCTATTGAATCGCCTGACAAGTGCCTGCTATTAGTCACAGTTCTTTTGAAAAAAGCAGTTGTTAAAAGAAGTCATATTAACAGGTGCTTGAGTGCATAGCTGCTCTTGTAAACAGGAGCCTTGCTTTGAATGGCTACCCAGTGCCTTCTGCAGACATAAGTCTTTGAAGCATTGCAGAATTATCCCTCTGCTGACCCAGAACTAATGAAATACTGTATCCCTGCATAGCTGCCCTAAGGAGGGTCCAGACACAATATGAGGAGCACCGGAGGAGAATTTGAGGTGGGGGGGGGCAGAAAGAGGCGTTAACACTTAAGCTTTTTTGCCCTTTGTTTAGAGGCATATCAATTCAGGGTCGTGAGCTACTGTGGATCTTTTATTCTGGTCATCTTCTTTTTAAGGATAAAAATGAAAGACTGGTCTCTTAGGCAAAGTAGGCAAAATATTTTTCCCATTTGTAAAACGGTAGTGAATGCTATTTAGATGACTTTGAAGAGGTTGGGAAAAATTCTGAAGGGAGGACTCTATGGCTGTTAGATATGAAAGCCGGTATGGATTTCCATTATTGGTGCAGTAAACTCTGAGTATTAGATGCACTGGGGGAGAGGGGGGGCAGGAGAAAGAGGTAATCATTATCCCTCTAATCTGCCTACAAGTTCCAGAAGGATGTATCTGACCCCAGTTGAAAAGCAGCTCAACAAGATGTTTTTAGCCACATGTCAGTTTTTGGAGACGCTGTTCCTGTATTGGTACCACCCTGCAGAGTGTGGGCTCTAGCATACTGAATTCCCTGACAAAAATTCCATTTCTAAAAATTCTGGGGACATTTGTCTGACGCATCTGGAGAGCACCAGCTTTTAGAAGCTCATTTTTTTAAAAAAAACATCCCATGTTGTTTGGCAACCCATCATTTCTGAAGAAGCAATGGTCTTGCATGGGCTTGAATCAAGGAGCATTTTGCCACCTTTAGGGCCAGGGAATGGAATACAAAAGCAAATCAGGTTTGAAAAATTCTCTGGAAGACAAAGAGTGAAAGAAGCAATGTGTATGATGCTTTAAGGCCTGAAAGCAGCTGGAAACAACCAGATTTCAATATAAGCTGTTTGTGGCAGCTCAGCAGAACTATTTTCCTAGGGACACTAGTTACAATACATGGCTTTGCACAGAGGAGTCCATGGTATTCAACGGGTTCCAATACAGCCTGTTTCTTCATGTTTGTGGAGAAGTGACATGCGAGAGAAAGTCCGGGAGCAGGTTTTACACTGATACTTCTTAACATCTGAATGAGTCTGCAGATGAGCACGGAGATTGGAGCGATCAGCAAAGGCCCGGCTACAGTGCGTGCACGAAAATGGCTTTTCCCCTAGAAAGATAAAAGAATAAAAAGGATTATCAGCCTGAATCTTGACAAAACATGTGACAGAAGTCAAAAATCACTTCCTGGCCCTTTATATATCACATTCCCAATCTTTCACTACTATAAGTAAAATAGTACTGTTTATGGAAATCCAAGCATTCATCCTAGGTTTAAGCAAATTTCTAGAAAACAATTCATAGTTCGGAAATAAATTCTGCTTGAATCACCAAATACATAAATGGTTTTGTATTCAAGACATTAGCCCAGGTTTAAATCTGACACATGCCGGATTCTAAAATAAAGAGATAAAAACCAAGTCTCTTTATTTCAAAGGACAAAAAGCAGGGCCTGAACTTTGAAGCTGGATTGTACTTATTAAGTGTGTCCTCAAAAAGCTAAGCAAAGTAGTCTGTTCTTGGGTAGGAGATCACCAAGTAATACATACACTAGGTTGCAGGTTAAGCCCCCCTTTCCCAATTCTTGCCAAAATAATATATCCAAGTTGTCAACAAAAATCCACCTGGAATCAGGAAGATTTTACTTTTATTCTAATGGAGCTTGGTTCCATTGAGTGTGTAGAGAACTCCAAGATCCTATGCATATTCATCTGGAGAATAACATCCTTAGATACCAAAGGTGCTTACTTTAAGAATACATGTATTGCACTGGTCTACATACAATACATTGACAAAGAGCTCCCAGCATTGGTACAAAATGTCCTCTTCTGACAACTTAGTGCATCAAAACCTGAAACATTAATTGCATCCCCATTCCAATATAACTATATCCTTTCCAAATTTTCCTCCTCCTTTCCTTCCTCTCCCTCCCCCTCCTTCAAGCCTCAACCACTAAAGCCAGGTTGAATTCCTGACGGAGAAAATTCTTCTGGAGCTCACCAACAGGCTGCTCCCTTTGGAAAGCACAATTAAGTCTTTCTGGCTTCCTTCAGGCAGTCATCTTTAGGACTTTTAAAAGGGTGTGAAATCAGCACTAAGTAACAATTAAAGGATCCTGCCCCCTCCACCTGCCCAACACAAAAGCTGCTTGGGGGGAAAAAGCATTGTAAATGTGATACTCCTTGGATTAAACACTCAAAAAGCCACAGCTGTGGAATCTGGTGCTTAGCCTGGGGCGTTACAGTAACAGGTGCAGGAAGGGAAGAGCAAACGCAGCTCCCTAAGAGCACCTGCCAAGGCAGCTCCCAGCTTCCAAAAGCCCTTCCCCACCATTTCCACGGTCCCATTAGGCAAACAATGCTGGAATGAAGCATCTCCCAACACCAACTTTTTGTGCCCAGAAGGCAGCATATCCTGCTTGCACCAGGGAAGGCGTCAGATATCAGAGGAAGCTTTCAGGGGCCTTCCATGTAGGAAAAATGAGGAAGTAGGCTGTTTCCCCCCCCCCTCCCTGCTGCAAATGTATGGCCCATGTTTAGCACTGTTTTATATACTGGAGGTTAGACAAGAAAGAAGAGGGGGGGGGGAAATAGGAGAGACCTTGCAGAGGGTTGAAATGCAAATATAAGCAAGGGAAATAGAGGAGAGGGTTTGGCACTGGCTGCCCTGCATTAGACTACAATGCTTACAAGCCCTTTCAGTACAACATCCCCCCCCCCCACACACACACACAGTGTGTGTACTTGGAATGACTCAAGGCTGATTCACATGATGGAGTGCCTGCTGAGCTGGCTTCAGGGCGTCTGTATCCAAACTAAGTAGGCATGATGATGTGGCTGTGGAATCATTACCCCAGAACCACTCCAAGTCTTATGTAAACTAACAAAACAATGGAAAAAGGGTGGGAGTTGTAACCAGGTAGCTGCTTTAGGAGGGTAGTATTTACAAGAATACCGACTGAATTAACCCAATGTTCTGTGCTTACAGAACATCTAGGACCACCCTCTAATCACATGGCTTGCATTCACACATGCTAGAATGTTGGCTAATTTTTGGATCAATGTGTTGTGCAAAGGCTGTGACCCGACAGATAAAAAACCAAGTAATAAAGGTACTGAGAAAAATGCCATTGAGTTATAAACAAATCTAGATTTGCTTACAAAGGTATCCTAGCTTTGCAGGACACCTTTATCCATGATTATGTGGACTTACCCAGCATATTAAACTATGAATTAATTGAACTGTCCTATAATGGGGTTGGGCTCAGCAAATATAGCCACTGAATACAAAAAGGGAGTCCAAAATCAATTAAGTCAGAGGTTGACAAGTATAAGTCCAAACAGGGTGGATTTCAGACAAATCTGTTTTTAAAAGGTCTTAATTAAAACAGGGTGTTGTTTTTTTTTTTTTCAGAGAAACACCATTTGGAGAGCCTTATCTCTTCTGATAAGCCACAGGCAGTGTTGACGTGAATCAGGTTACAAGCAAGGTAGAGGACTGGGGCTAGAGAAAAGATAAGAGAGGAAGATAACAAGGACCAGACACACAAACAGAAGAATTCAGATCTTTACCAGTGTGCGTTCTGATGTGGCCCTGCAGGAGCCATGGCCTTGAGAATGCTTTGCCACAGATTTTGCACACGCAGGGCAAGGTATGGCTTCGGATGTGCATCTTGAGAGCCCCCAAGCTCACATATTCCTTTTCACAATATTTACAGCTGAAAGATTTCCTGGTCTGGGAATCACAATGCAACTGTCTGTGCTTGGAAAGGCCAGCAAAAGTTGAGTAGGACTTGCTGCACTGGCTGCAGTGGAATTTCTCGGCTTCCGTGGCAGAGGAGGCTGGGCTGGGCGGGTCAGAGCTGGTCTTGCCATCCTCCTCTTCACTTGACAAGGAGGTCAGGTCCAGGGGTTTGGAATCAGGGCTGGGTGGAGAAGCTGCACTTTTCTGGTACTCCGATTCCGAGGTGAAGAAGTTAGAGAACAGCCCAGTGTCCCAGGCTAGAGGAGGGTAGTAAGAGCCAGCACCCAGGAGATCTGGTTGAGGGATGACAGACAAGGGGTACTTGTCATACAAAAACGGAGAGACGATCACTGCAAAAGAGACCCAAGGAAATCTATTAGAAAAAAAAAATCCTGCAGAACTGGACACAACCCTACCTCTTTTGAGATCGGTTGGCTTTTGGCATGCTCAGGGAGGGAGCCCTTGGCCAAGTTCTCTGGGCATATGCAAAGGGCCAGAAACCTGAGGAACAAAATCTTAAACATCCTTTCCAGTTGGAATTAGCCACAGAGGGAGGTCAAAAATAGCAAAACCTACAGCACCAGCCCTTCTTGGAAGGACGGAAACTTCTCTAGCTTCAGGCCGGTTGAAAGAGTCGTGGCACAAAGGCTGACGGGACTTGGGAGTTTTGCATTTCCAAGTCAAAAGCAGCTGGTTTGGAAAGCATTCCATTGCAGAGCTCTTCGGAAGGAAGGCCCGCTGAGCTCAAGGGGATTTATTCCCAATTTACTACTTGTGGGAGCTTGTTCCGCGGTCTTCAAGCCGAGCCCGACTGGATGGCACCTAACTAACCTAAAACCAGGATTACTTCTTCCCTAATTGCTAGATAGCATCCGCCGTTCCGCGTCCTCCGTAAGGAGACGATCCACATGTTTCCCTCCCCAAGTTATTAGCGGGAAACTTTGAGCAGGAGCCGCTGCGCTGAATCCGGCACCCACCCACCAATTCAAGCCCGTCTTCGACGGGGCATTTGAGTTGGCCAGTCCTCCCCCCCCCAGCACTGCCAGAGCCCCCACACCAGCGCCACACCACCCTCTCTCTCTTCCCGGGCGCAGCGCCTACCCGTCTGGCTTTCCAATTCGCTGTAATTGGGCTTCTTGCTGGCCGAAAAGTGTTTCTTGACGAGGAAGGAACGCGGCATCTTTCTGGCGACGCGGCTCCAATCCAGGCTACTGCGGGAAGAGAACTGCAGTCGCGGCCGCTCGCCTCTTCTTCTTCTTTCCCAAATAAACCCGGATCCTCCCTCCGCCACTCGCCAGGCCGCTGCGATGCAAGCAAGTGGAGCGGCTCAGCCACGAGCTAATATGGGCCGAGCGGCAGGTGGGCGAGGCCGACCCGCCCCCCCCTCCGTGTCACTTGGCAGCCAATCGACAAAGGCGGGGAGGGGTCCAGCTGCGAGCCTCTTCCAGCAGGTGCTCCGCAAACAAAACCCACCGGCGAGGTTGACGGCTCGTCTGAGCTGCCAGACCTCTCGCCAGGGCTGTGGGGAAAAGCCAGGCCTGAAGATCTGGCCGCATAACTTTCACTCGGAGGTGGGATAAAAACCTGTCTGTGGGTCGCCTCGGCTCAGGAAAGTGGGAGCAACTTTGCTTGAATAGCAGATTTGTCCTCGGTGGCTGTGTGTGTGTGTGTGTATGCGTGTCAGGATCAGCGTTGAGTATTCCATTCCCCTCCCCCGCGAAGTCTACCATACGTGTCAACCATTCCTGTCTGAGCGACTGTGTTCACGTGTCCATTCCACAGTCGATGTTTTCTTTTGGAATGAAGCCCACTCAAGTTCAACGAGGTTCCCCTAATTGAAACACGTAGAGCGTTTGCAGCTTTTCTCAGCCCGGCGCTTTCAACTGTGTTTGGACTATCACTCCCATCATCCCCACCCTTGCCTTAGGCTGTGCCGCTTCTTCCCGTCCCGACGCACAACGCTTGTAGTGTTAGGAAAAAACTAAGAGTACAAAGGAATCAACCCTCCTCCCCCCCACCCAGCCTACATCCGCTCGTGTCTCTTGGGAGGCATCGTCCCATGATCGCCACCCTTATTTCGGGAGCCTCCAGAGTGGGGGGGGGGGAAGGAGGGGAGAAACAGAAGGAACAAAGGTGCGACCTTTCCTGACGCGTTTTCGGGGGGATGGAAGCAGTGGGTCCCGATCTCCCCCTTCTCCAAGCTAAGAAAAGAGGTCTTTGAAAGGCGGGGTCAGCATTTATTTCCAAAGGAGGAGGAAAGCGGAGGGAAATCGCCGCCTCGATTCCGTAGAGGGGAAATGACGACGCGCCACCCCGATTTCTTAAAAAAAAAAAAAAAAAAAAAAAAAAAGCGATCCCGCAAGCACGTGCCGCGGTTGTCCGAAACGGGAACCGCCCGCCGACCATCTTCTTGCAGGGGAAATCCGCAAAGCCTTTACCCTCTCGACATCTTCCTCATTTCCCCCCCCCACACACACACACACTCCCATCCTCCCGGGCCCATAACGGTCTTCCGCACCAGCCCTCGCAAGTTTTTCCTCTCCGGTCGGGGTTGAGGACAGGCACGGAGTTCCTGGGGCGGCAGGACGAGCGAATCCACGCGAGGTTGTTGCCCGCCTGTCCGCAATCCGCACATGCTTTGGACTGAACTGGAGAAAGGTCGATTCTTGGTGAACAGAAAGTAAAGGTCGTGGGGACCTGAGTTCGCACGGCTGGTTATTCAACAGGTGGTGCTGGCCCTTGCAACCTAAGTTAATGTCTAAATCCAGCCGCGGTAACTAACCCGGCTCCCTTGTTCCAGCTAGGTTCTCGCCTGATGTATATTGTGAAATCTGACACATGGTTCCTAAACCAGTGAGGTACAGAATATTGGGAAGTCTGACGCTTCTGTGGGCACCAGGTTGGGAAAACCCGGAACAAAATGCTTGCCTTTCTCTAGGAAACATTATACAGTATAATGATTGGTGAGTTTGGGGGGTTTATTACAGTATCAACTGTTGGAATACAGAAATTAAACTACACATATAGAGATGATTTAATGGATTATTATATACGAATGAGGCACCAGGAACACTGAGAAAAGGAAGCCTTGCAGTACTGTTAGAATGTCTTCATTTGGCTCTCCACAAGGCCATGAGCGCCCTCTCCAGGACTCCTTCAGCCAAGCCCCCAAATCATTGTCAGAAGCGAAACATTCAGCAGAATTAACACTTTTTTATATTAAGCCCACCCAGATACCCAAAGTAGGATTACAGCCTCAATCAGTTTGCTTTGGACTTCTAGTGAAATCAACTTTAATACTCTTAATGTTGGCCAATTTTGTCCTGGATTTGTTACTTGGTAAGAACTGATTGCTGATGCCATAAAAACCAATCATTCTTTCCCTAATTGTAGTATGCAGAAGACATTAAAACTTTATCCTAATGTGTACTTCCTGTTCAGGGTGTTCAAGTTGATATTGTGGATACACTGATTTAGATTCTTGGTGACCAAATGGTCTTTTCCACCTCCAACATTCCATGATCAGCCAGGTATTGAAATTGTTTCCCTATCTCCCTTTGTCCTACGGTATCAGGGAAGATAGTTATTAAAATGACAATGGAGGGAGGGGGAACTGGAGGTCACTTTGACAAGGAGGCACTGTGTTTATGTTAAATAACCCCAGTTGCAAAATTCAGTTTGTACACTGTGACTTTAAACAAACTAAGATATGCAATGAAATGCAAAGTTCTCAAATTATGCTTTTGATAAACAGGCCAAATAACCTGCTCAGACAATTGAAATACAGTTTTAGTAATTGCCATCTTCCCTTATCATATAAGATCTCAGAAGGGGCAAAAGGATTAGACAAATTAAGATCACCTAGAAAGGTGTAAATGGCTTGTGCAAATTAAGGGACTGCTATTGTTAACAGAACATAAGGTCTAATTAGATTATTTTAAATGCAGTTAACTAACAAATTTGTAAATGGATGGTGTCCACCTGAGAAGCTGCAACTGTATTACTTAGAAGGGGAACGGTAGATACAATTATTTTCATCTAAACAAAGGAAAATTCCTCTGAATCCTTCAAGACATTCACAATTAGATCCTTTAAGAATATAGTTATATATAGTTCATAATTCTTTGGATGTAAGTTTTTGGACTCAGTCCTATACATGTTTACAAGTTGATAAATCCTATTGAATACACATGGATAAGATTGCATGGGAAAACACCTATCACAGTCTTTCATTTAATAAACTAAGAAACTTTCAATATGGGTGATGCATGTTGAGACATTAAAATGATGAAAGTGAAAGGCAGTTTAGTTTAATGAATAATGCTGGTAGGTAGGTGTTTTAAAATAAAAACGGAAACAGTAATAATGATACAAGACCTTTATTAAACTATTCTATGTGGAACTAGAAAGGTTTTTGATTTCATCAAAAATATTAATCAGAATCGGTAGATAGCAAAAGAGACCAAAATAAGTTATTGCATCCAAAACTGAAAAACACAAACCTGCATCTTATAACTTGTGGCCTGGTCCACATGTCACACACTAAACCATAATGTGACTTACTTAGCCTGCTGCATGCAGAATTTGATTATGACTTATTAAATCATGGTTAAGCAAAAGATTGTCAACAGGGTTTACTCTCAAGAAAGGAAGCAACAAATGCTTCCTAAACAAAATTTCTACCTAGAAGAAACATATGGGTTTTTTTTCATTGTAGGTGCACAGAATTAACATACTACTAAAATAAATTTGGGTTTTCACATTAATCAAAGAAATACTAGGGACAATTCGAATGTTAATTAAACCTATTATTGACACTACCCTGCTCAAAAACAAGAAAAAGCAAAGAACAATAAAATAAAAGCAAAGCATCTTTAGACCGGTGGTAAAATGTTAGGGCTGACCTCATGTTTAGGCTAATGAAAGAATGTGGACAAAACTGCTCCTTGATAAATTCTATAGTTCCAAGGCTATGTTTGTAACAATGTGCTCAGTTAACTCCCACCTAAGTAAACACTCATTCAACCTTTCAAAGGCAAAACCTGTGTCCATTGACAGAAGCAAGGGACTCTTTTCAAACAAGAGAGGGCAAGGCAATGTCCCTATTGTGCTAAAGTGTTCCAAAAATGAATACAATTAGGTGTAGTTAAAGGTGGGTTTACATTAGTCAGACAATGGTTGCTGGTCATAAAGTGAGATAGCTATTGACTGAAAGACTTGGGCTATGTTGATTCACTTAAACTGATTAAACTCAAGTACAAGGGAATTTATGGGGGAGGGGGAGAATTTGGAGACCGAGTTCTAATTTAACTTGTGAAGAAAAAAAAAAGTTGTACAAGCTCCCCCTTTCCACATGGTGTTAATGTCCTTTGAATAAGTTGTCTACAAGACTAATTTGGGGGAGGAGAAGTGAAAAAGGAGCACTCATGGTTTCATCAAAGAAGATTGCGTACCTTCAGATTGTGTATGAGAGAGAGACATAGTCACGAGCAAGTAAGCAAGGTGATCTGCTCACCTTGGTCTGGTGATTCAGGAAAATTCTGATCGTGTAATGATAAGATCATTGTAAAGGGTCCTGCTGGAAGAAAGGCTGCAGCCACAGCATGATCATGTGTCCTGAACTGCATTATCCACCTGTAATCCAATCAAAGTCATCAAGGAAGAAAAAAGAATGGAATTTTATCACTTAAGCTTGCACAATATTTTTTTCCATTTTGTTTTGTTTTAATGGGTTAGATTGGATGCACATGTTGAAAGAGTATTCTCAAAACTATAATAAAAATTTGAATGAAAGTCAGATTTTTTAAAAAAGACTTCAGAAAGTCTGACTTCAAATTCTCTGTAATTGAAGGTAATGTAAGGACCCATGAATTCAATCCAGCGGATTAGTTTATGGGTCATGGTTAAATGCCTTAGACCCCATTTGTACTCATGACTTGTAGGTTAGGTTATTTATTAAATTTATATGCCCACCCCCACCCCACATCTTGCAGTGAGACCTAAACTATGGATTCCATGTGTTCTCAGAATAAGAATGGGATTTAACTGTGATTAGAGATTGTTTTTGATGATGAAAAGGTAGGAGAAAAAAATCATAAAGTTAATTTTCCTTTGAAGGTGGAAATAGCTAGCAGGAAAAGCTACAAAATGGAGCTGTTCCAACCATAGCATCTCTACCATTCTCAGCATTTTTCACCCTAGCGGTGATCAGAGAGGGTAAAACAGGCATTGCAGGCAGAAAAGACTCAGCCTTCTTCCCCCATGTGGATGCCTTCAAACTTCAGTTGGTCTAACTAAGTTTGGTCTCTAGATTTTACATCTTCAAAAGCAGTTCATTGCATTGATTAGCAAAAGTGGTTGGGATACTGCTCAACAATATTCACCATTTGCAAATACTTGCTGGACATTTTCCTATGTGGAACATCCAGGAATAAGAGTCTTAGTTCCCAGCTTCTTGACAGAGTTTGGAATTTATACATTTAATGGTGTTTGAACTTGAGAGATGCAGGTTCAAATTCTACTTCAGCTGGGAATCTAAGCAAATTACAATATAGTAGCTAGGAGGCTGGACCAAGACATGAAACACTCAAGACCACAACCACATTTCAGTTGTAAATTCACTAGGTAACTTCAGGTCAATCAAATGCTCTTCTGTGGTTATAAAACCTTATCCCTTTTAATAAAATATGTTAGAAAAGTTAATGTGAACTCCTTCTGAATTAGAGTTAATCATCATCTCTCAGCTGACTTCCTCACAAGGTTCTTGTGGAGAAAAACTGGAGCAGTGAATATTATGCACTGCCATTTTGAGCTTTTGCAGGAAAGGTGAGATTTAAATGAAGCAAACAAGCAAAGAAATAACCTTGTACTCTCTCAGACTAACTTACCTCAAAGGTAGTTGTGATGAAAACCTTGTTTGTCTCAGAGAAAATACACCTATGGATATTATATAATATTATTATAATAATAATATTATTGGTACTCTTTAGTCCCTGGGAGGAAGGAATTTTATAATGAATTTGCAATATTTATCTGATTATAGGCAAGGAATGATTTATAACAGTGTTTCACAACCTCAGCAACTTTTAAGAGGTGATCAATTTACTGTTGCAGCCGGCATGTTGGGGGGAATTCTGGGAGTTGAAGTT